AAAAAAAAAAAAAAAAAAAAAAAAAAAAAAAAACCACTCTTCTCCACTAAGCCAGGGGTGCAGAGAATACGAGGCTCATGGAGTACATCCACAGTTCTGCGCTTGATTCCTCTGAAGTTTTCACCTTGCCAGCCCAAGGCTCCCTTGAAGTGTAGGAATCAGGACTCAGGCTGGCCGCCCAATTTGGGAAGAAGCAGGTCTACTATGGACAATTCTTTCCTCTTTCCATTTGACAATCTGGAATCTGCTTGCTTGAAAATTAGGTCCGGGCCCTCCCTGGTGGCACAGCAGGTTAAAGTGCAGCACTGCAAAGCAGCTACCTCAGTGTGCGTTGGATCCCGCTTGGGAGCTGACCCACAGGGCGCGGCAGACCTCTCCTGGCCCGCCCGCTGCTCTCCTCAGCGGTGTGCTTCATCCATCTGCCTGTTCTGCTCCCCACTCTGTCTCCGGTGAAGCCTCTCACCCCCTGCACCTCTGGCCTGTACCCCAGTTCTGTATGAATAAATAAGTAAATCTTTTTAAAAAAGGAAAGAAAATTCGGTCCACTTGTTTCTACCAAACTGCTGCCGTTCGGGACAGAATAGCTGGACCTAGCGTTGATGGCGCCAAGTGAGATAAGTCGGAACGGAAATGGCCGTTCTTGGATGGGCTTCCTCACGTGTGAAATAGAAACAATCGAACAAAGCCGGCAAAACATCAAATCCAACTCTTGGACTGTGAAAACGTGGTGGTCAGAGGGGTTGGGGGATGGCGAGAGCAGGTGCCAGGGCCGCCGCGGAGCTCTGGCGGCAGGTGAGGCCCGGGCACGCCGGAGGTGTCAGGTGTGCGGTCCAGGCCCTCCGGTTAGTGAACGGTGGTAAATCGGTAACATTTGAGAGAAAGAAAATCCAAAGCCTGACGCGGGAGCGAGCGACTCTGACGCCCCCTCCGGCAGGCGTCGCGTCCGCGCACGTGGTTTCCCTCCGGGGGTCCCAGCAGCTGAAAGCTGCCTCGGTCCTGTGGGAATTCTCGGGTCCCCGACTCTCGCAGTGGGGTGGCCATGGTTTGGGTGAGCACCTGCAGGGAGTCAGAGCACTCCGCGGGCCGGATCCTGGGGAGGCCAAACAGCGGTGGCCAGGTGGGCGGGAGAGGCTGGGGGAGCGCTGGAGAGGGTGGGGGTCCCCGCTGGCGCTGGCCCCAGGCCTGCTCGCTCTAAGGGCGAGTCATGGGCCCCACGAGGCGCGCTTCCAGGGGGGCCACCCGCACTGGCCTGGGGTCCACCACCAGGTGGGGGGACGGCAGAGGGGGCCACGACTCCCACGAGGGAGGCAATCTGCCTGGAAAACAAGAACCGGGGGCTGATCCTCGTGCATGCGGGCGGCTCACTGCCGTCATCACGGGGCCTGCGCCTTGCTCCATCTCACGGGAGAGAAGCAGAGAAAGTCCCCAGTGGGTGGGAATGTTGGTCTGCTTTAGTTTCCCATTGCCGGGGCTGTTTAAAGGGAGAGCACCGAGAGGGTGTTTTGGGTAGAGTTGTGTTGGGGGGGGCAGTACCTCAGAAGAGTGGTCTGCCCCGGCCATTCTGGCCATCTCCTGCGTGACCTTGGCTAGGGAATGTGGTGAAGGGTGTCTCCACCACCACCCACTGAGTCGCAACCTGAGATGGGGAACTCACACGGCCCCTCCCCCAGCCCGGGGAGGGGGTGTCTGGGGCCAGCTGTGTTTGCGAAAGTCACCTCCTCTGCAGTTCTGGGTGCTGATGGCCAGTCAGGACCGAGTTTCCTGAGGTCAGGCCCCTAACGAACGCCTGGGAGATGCGGTGGGGCGAGTCCTGCCTACAGGAACAAAAGCTCTCTCTCACTTCCAAAAATCACCCCCACCTGCTAGAAAAAGATGAGCAGTCTGGTAAATGTTTTGGGGGTGGGGGTGGGAGGCAGCCTAGACTTCAAAAAATAAAACACATTAAAAACTTTATTGGATCACACATCTAGATTTGCATCAATTTGATACATTTCTGCTCACTTTGCAGACCACAAGAGTTGCACAATTTCCTTAAATCTCCAGGCATCTGTTGTTGATCTTCTCACATACACACACAGGGCACCTCCTGTAGCCTCTCCTGGGCCTGGGACACCTGGCCCCTGGGGCCTGACCCTGAAACTGGTGGGCAGGCCTGAGTGTTCTTCTCTCTTCTGTTCTAGGGTTGAGTCATGCTGGCCAGTTCCCAGGACACCGGGTTAGGTCCCTACTGTGCCAGGAAACCCCTGTTGTTTCATCCCCTTCTACCCCCAAACTGTGTGGCTGGCTGTGGATATTCCGAGCAAAGTTAACCCGTTTTGTTGCATGGAGTATTCCAGAATCTTGAATTGGAACTTATGGTTCTTTAATGGAAGGGGTAGAAGGAGCTGGGGACATTCCCTGGACCAGACTGGGCTGGAACAGTGGAGTAGGGTTTCGTCCTGGCCCCATCACCCAGGCCACCACTGGCTGTAGCAGGTCTGGGTACTGCCCACATCTGGGGAAGGAGAATCCTGAACAGTCACTGGGTTTTGAAAGCAAATTTGAGAAAAAACGGGTGATGAAAAAAAGCCTGTAAAGAATCATTTCAAGTAATTTCCTTTCTGAAGTAACACCCCTTCCCCCTTCTACACCGGCAGATCAGGTCTGATGCGGGATGATGCATTACAGTAAAAAGAGCATCGCAGCAGCAGCCGCCTCCCACCTGGAGTCCGGTCCGCTGCTGACAGACACCTGCCACCCTAATGCACTTGGAACACGTAAGGAATGAGCGCTGAGCCTCCAAACTAAGGAAAATGCCCAATAAAAAAAAAAAAGAGATAGAAAATACATGCGAATTTAATGGCAAACTTATCGTGGACAGCTAATGGTGACGATCTGGAATCATGGGCGGCGGGCAGCAGGGACCACCCAGCCCACGGGGGCGGGAGGACACGGGCGCCGGGGCGTGCGGGCCGGGGCTGGTCCGCGCCAGGCCGGCGCCCGCCGGGGCAGCTCGGTGGTCCCTGCGGTGATGGAACTGTCAGTGCTGCAGCAGGAAGTTGGTAGCCACGTTAAGGTCATTATTCGAAGCTCTGAGGGCTTCCAAAGCGTCCCCTCTGGAAAACCCCATCTCCATCAGCCGGGCCACCTGGAAACACAGAGCAGAAACGAGACTTTTGCAAATGTTGAGATTTTCGACGAGTGGGCCAAGGAGGCCTGAGGGGCCGGTGGAGGTGGCCACCTCTCTGCTGAGGAAGACAGGGCCCCGGGGGGGCAGGGGCCAGGGCCCAGCACTGCCCTCCTGCCTCTGCTTTGTGACATTATGGGGGCGTTCAGAGCCTGGAGTGCTAAAGGAGGGGAGTAGGTAGGGCCAGGAGAGGGCGGGGTGGCAGAGGGACCCCGAGGGCCTGGGGGGGACAGTGCTCGCCAGCTGAGGCGGTACCCCCTCGGTAGGGCTTGCGAACAGAACAAGGGTTAAGACTCAGGTTAAAGACGCCCTTGGGGCGGCGGTCATCCTTCCGCGCGGGTCCCCTGGCTGCCTTCAGGCACATCCATGCGGGGCCACTGGCAGCTGCGTCCTGGAGCAGGCCCTGGGCAGCGTGGCGAGGGTGGAGGCGGCAGGGATGTCAGGCCCCCCTCCGGCGGCTGCGTGGGCAGAGCGCTTCAGCTCCCCCCAAGGAAGGCCTGCCTCTTCCAGAGTGCTGTCCACATTCCCTCGCCGCCGGCCGAGTTCTTCCTCAGAGGGGGCCGACTCAGCCTCTCTCTAGCTGCCCCTGCCGGCTGAGCTAACAGAAGCCCCATCCCCTCCTCTACGCGAGCTGCTCTCCCGCCCTCCATCGCCGCCTCCCCAGGCCTGGAGCTCGGCGTCCATGTCTGGGTCCATGTCTGCAGACCTGGAGGAACCCCAGAGCAGAAGTCTCCTGCCGCACGGCCCCTCAGGCCTGGGGCTTTCACCTGCGCTGGGGGCCTGCTTCTGCCCACCGCCCCCTGTACACGGCCTGAGCACAGCCCCGCTGGTCCTCGCCAGCTCGCCGGCCCCAGTCAGCGCCTCCCGCCCAGCCCTCCCCTTCCAAGGCTCGCTCAGTGACGCATCTCGAACCCCATCCCTGCAGAGAGGACGGGGTCTGGCCAGGCCAGGCAGCCAGGCCTCGGCCCTCCTGTCACCTCCGTGTGCCGGGGGCGCGGTGCGGGCGGCCGGCGGGGCCTGCTCGGGCTGCTCCGTGTCCGCACTGCCAGGCCTGTCAGCCGCACCGGAGGGCTGGCTACGTCTCTGCAAGCTCCTCTGGTGGTTTCCAGCCCGCCAGAACAGTTTCTAACTTCAATTCTGCTGTCCACCGTGCTCATCAGCTCCCTCAAACTTGCATGACTTCCCGATTTGATTAGCAAACCTGTAGATACCACGCAGGCTGCGGGTTAAAGTACCCCACAGGCCAGCCCAGCGCCCTCACCGGTCAGGTGGCTCGCCACATCGCCCCCTTTTCTTTAGAGATGTGTGGTCAGTTCCAAACCCACGTGACGTGACCCCTGGTCGCAGGCAGGGGGCCGCGGTGCCGTCAGAGGTCTTGGCAACACCCTCGGCGGCCAGCCGCGGGGCACTGACCATCTCGAGGCGGACAGAAGCTGGTTTTCCTGCCCTTGTTTAAAAAATTCGAGCATCCTCTGGTTTCACTCATAGCAGGAGTATAATGGACCAGGCGAGAAAATAACAAAAATAATGAACAACCATAGACCAGAGACATTCTGTGGGGGTGGAGTGGGGAATGGGATCAAAAATGGGGGGGGGGGGGAAGGGAGGGAAATGCACGGGACTATGGTGGTGGCACAGGGGTGATTTGGTGATGGGAAACCCGCGGGGATTACAATCGAGATGGAAAAAAAAATGTGCAAAAAGATGTAAAAGTAAACTTTGTAATAAATAAAATAAAAAAAAATATTCTAAATTAAAAAAAAAAAATTCGACCATCCTCTACGACTGGGAAACATCCCTCCAGTCTCAAGGTGATTAATTCTTACTCGAGCAGGCCGGCAGGCCCCGCTGCGGCCCCGACCTGCGCCCCCACCCCTGGCCTGAGGGGAGCCGCCGTCCACAGGGCCATCACAGCAACCCGCTCAGTGAGACATTCCCGTTTCTTTTTGTTTAAACACAACTGTGGTTTCTTTAACTTCCCTTTGGCTATGGGTTCTTACTTCCCAAATTTGCAGACAGTATGTTCACCTGAAATCAAGTCCCCTCCCATGCACGCTGGGGGCCCGCGGGCTTGCGGCGGGAGGCTCAGGGAGCCTGGGGACGGACCCTCTCCAGCCCTGCGCCAGGACCGGCGCCTGTCAGCCATCAGGGCCACCCTCCTTCCCACCTCCCGGCCCCATCAAACCGGCCCTGGGCCCGGCGGCCTCACCCCCAAATCCTCAGCACCCAGCACCCAGCCCCCAGCCCACCTGCTGCCAGCACTCGGGGTCTGGCTGTTTTCATCACGCTCCTGCCCTGCCTGCTAGGTGGCTTGGTGGCCCCGACCTCTGCACGTGAGAAAGTCCTCACCACATGCTCCCATTCCTTAGTGCACCCCGAAGACTCAGGTACCCGCCAACCGTGCTACATTATGTGATTGATACTGGCTCGGTTGTGAATGTTCACCAATTGTTTCTAACACACAGCTCTGGCATTCTGTTGCTAACACCTCTGGTTCTGGTGTGAGACCTTAGGCCGTAGCCCGGGGCTGCGGAAGGCCCACCCCGCCCCGCCCATCCAGCGTCTGCTGGGGGCAGGCCCTCACCCTGCCAGTCACCCTGGGCGCCAGCTCGGTCACCGGTGCTTCCCCAATTCTCACCACACCAGATTTACAGGCCAGGGCCTGTTCCCCAGCAAGGCACCCCTTTCTTGGTCCAGCAGGCCTGGGACATTTTGCAGCTGCCAGTGCCACCTCTGTGCCCGGCTCCCCTCCAGTGCTGAGCACCGTGGGCAGGCAGGGCCGAGGCATTAGCACTCTCTCCCTCGGAGGGAATGGCCGATGGTAAGTGGGGGCAGAGTTGGTAACTGTGGGTGGACTAAGAAGAAGGAAAGACGTGAATGGGTAGAGGAAGTGGTGATCTGTAATAGTCTTATCACTCTTCCGTCAAGTCTGGTGTCTTGCTTAACTTCCTTGTCCCTTCCACTGGATGTCCCAATAAGGGCAAAGAACAAGGTCATGTTTCAGGCCTGGGGAGGGCTCAAGAGAAAACTTGGAAAGAGTTTTTCCTTCTCATTCATTCATTCAAAAAGAAGCCACGATGACAAATAGCTAACATTTGTTAAATTAAAAAATGGTATAATGTGGAAATCCCTAGTTAAAAAGAACTGGGGGGAGCACACATTACTCCCAAGCTGGTAGACCTCTGAGTGCACCTGACTGTTCCAAGGCGCTCCCTTCTGGCAGACTTCCAAGGGGGCCGGGATGGCACCCGCGAGGGGGATGAGCTGGTCAAGGGGCTGGGTGAGAACTCACTGGAAACAGCAGTGGCTCTGGAAGAAGGAAAATTCCAGAAAGAGAGCAGCAGCAAACACAGAAAGGGTGGTGCACTCCCACTGGCCCGCCAGACGGGGGCTCGTGAAGGGTGCGTGTCTCTCTCAAGTCTGGTTTTCAAAATCCACGAACTACACGTCCTGCCTTAGGACTCTAGAACCCCCCCAAGTATTTGCTTGAATCGGCAAAAACACAATCACTTCTACTGGTCTCAGTTTAGGAAACTACTAAGTTTCTTAACACATTTAACGTCTAAAATGAGGAAAACACAAGCACATTTCGTTGGACAGTGACGCGTACACTGTCCTGCGTGTCCAAGCTGACGCGCCTGCTTCTGACAGCAGTTTGGGAGTGCCGGGCCCCAGCTTCTGACGGGAGATGACCGCGGACTCTGAGTTTGTGGACATTACTGGGATGCTCTGAGGCAAGAGCAGCAGTCTTTACCTTTCCAGCTCGAGCACCTACTGCAGGAACCCCGAGGGCAGGGCGGGCCCGCCTCTGCGGCGGCAGGTCTGGGGCGCCGTTTCAGGGTAAGAAACAAACATAAAAGTCCAGGTTCGGAGGCGCAGGGGCGAAGGGAACACACGTGACAAACGCCCTCACCTTCAGCGACAGGTTCTTCTCAGAGAAGGAGGAGGTGAAAGCCATTTCAAACAGACGCCGACAAGTTAACCCCACCGTTGTCATTCGGGGAGCAGCAAGTAACATGATTCATGAGCCCCCCCAAGACTTCAATGGCACACATTCTCCTTGTTATCACTTCTTGACACTTTTTTTTCGAAGTGCCAAAACTAAGAACGATCACACCTCTGAACACTTCCTAGCGTTAACGGCCGTGACTCAGTTTTATCGAGTCAACAGAGACAGGGCAGAGCTCTCTTGTTTTCATTTGAACTTGAGATTGTTCACCCACTTTTTAATGCTCCCCCAAGTACCACGCAAACGCTAAGGTGTTGGGCTTAATTTCCCGACCCGTGGCAGGGGCTGTTCCCAAGAACCCGCGAATGCAGGAGGCAGATGGGCGTCCCCGTCCCCGGCTCTCTCCCGGGGTGCTGGGGGCGTGCGGGGGGGGGGGGTGCCGGGGACGTGCGGGGGGGTGCCGGGGGCGTGCGGGGGGGTGCCAGGACCACCCACCAGCCACTGACGGCTTCTCCCAAATGCACTTACTGTGTCCTGGCACAGGGGCGGCACTGGGAACCCTGCGAGGCCTCCTGTGCTCCAGAAAAGCCAGGACACGCCTGCAGCAGACGGCCCTGGGAGGGGGCGGGAGCGGGGCCGCCTTCTCTGGGCCGTCGTCTGCAGCGTGGCGCTGGGTCTGTTGGGTTTCCCTTGCGGTCAGGTCCACACCTGTGCCCGCAGGGCTGCGGGGCCTGGCTGGCCCGCACGCCCGTTACTGTCGGGAAAACGGCTGAAGACCGGGCTCGGCGGGCGCCGCCTGTCTGCCGTCACGTGGCTGTTCCCCTTGGGCGGCTGGTGAGCCGGCGGGGGGCCCTCTGAGGCCACGCGCACGGCCTGCTGTTCACCTACCCTGCGCCCTTCCTGCGCCGACTCTTGTTCTCTTATCTGGAAAACTGTGATCTTCCTCTGCCCGCGCTCTCTCTGGGTTAATTACTCCAGGCTCTGCCGGAGGAAACACTTTCCTCCTTCCACCGGGCTGTAGACGGATCCACATAATGCTCCCTGCCAACGTCAGCGTGAACGGGGACCCCGCCCCCACGGGGCTCTAGCAGTTACCCTGGATTTGGCCAGGGTCCGAGGCAACTCTGTGGTGAGGCCCTCAGTTTCGGAGCTTCCTCGAGCCCTTGCACAAGTGGGCCCAGGGTCACCGCAGGCCATCCCTAGCCGGCCCAGAACCCACCATTTCCTACGGTCAGCCAAGGAAAGGAGTCGCGGAAAGGCCGCTACTGCGGCCACAGCTTCTGAGTTAGTGTCCACAGGTGCGCACCAGGCGCACACGCTTTGGCCACACTCCACGCCCAGCCGCGCACGCCCACATCAGGAGTCAAAGCTGACACCTCGAATTCCATGCAGCCCGGTGGCCCGCTTCCTGCTCCCGCCCTGCACGCGTGTTACCTCTCTCACCGGAAGCTCAGCGTCACAAACGGCACACCCAAGGGGCTGAGGCTTTAGACTGAGGCTATCGTGTGTGCAAGAGTTTCTGAAATCAATTCCCCCCTCCCGTATGAGTTTGCTCTTCATTTCAAATACAGCTGGAGCACTTATTTATTGCTCCTTTACTTGCGTGGTGTGCATGTCACTGGTGATGTGCTCTGTGTGTAAGTAAAACATCGCCGCTTGACTCCCAGAGCCCAGCAGGTACACCCAGCGAGGAGCCGATGGCCCGGGCCCCCGCCGCCTCCTCTCCACCCTTCCACGCCGGGTCCGACTTCGTCCCTTCTAGTATGGATAGAGACTTTTAAATCGGCAATCACAGTGCCCTTCCTCGCCCCAAAATCTCACTGCCTCTCTTGGTCCCCCAAGCCCCGCAGTGGTCGACACTGTTCCAAGTGGCAGCTTAGCTGCTACGGAAAACCTAGGCACTTTTATGCGTTGCTTTCTGACATGTTTTGTTCGCTACAATGGCTACCACCGGCCTGCAGTGTGGACGGAGGGCTGGGCCCAGGCGCTCCCGATTACCTGTTCCTCAGAAACCTCGAGAGGCGGGGACGCTTGTTGTTCAGACCGCCGAGCATCCTGATAGTTCGTATTTCGTCGCTGACGCAAGGGAGGGAAGAGACGGTTCCAGTTGATCATTCCTCCCTGAAAGAGATCCACACAGCAATCAGACACAGCGGGGCGGGCCTGCCTACGCAGGAGGTGTTCTCGCGAGGCAGGCCCCTCTGGGCCAGGGGGTGGGCGAGAAACTGAGGTGCTGGCTGAAGCTCCCAGGTACCAGAGGGCACAGCACGGCTCAGGCAGCAGTTGCACGCGGCCCCTGGCTCCACTAGGCAGCAGAGACACAGCAGGCACCGCCTCGGCTCTGCCGGGCCCCACTGTCACTCTGAGAAGGGCCCAGCGGTCTGATGCCAAGCCGTCCCCGCGAATGGCACTGCAGGTTACTTAAGGTTGGATGTGCCATTGACGAAAAAAAAAAAAACAAAAAACAACACAACAAAAAAAACAACCCACAGTGTGAAGAAAAATGAGAACAGAGCGTTTTTAGTCACGTGCCAGTTATTGAAATGTATCCATCCAAACCTCTATTTCTCGATGTCTTCTAGTTCTAGAAAAATGATAGGCTAAGAAGACCTGAAATTTTCCTGCTGTCAACATTTAAATGCTAGAGAACATGACAGAATCTTTACACGTACGGCGGCTCTAAATGGCAGACAGGAGGCCCCGAGGTGCTGGCACCCAGCGCCGGACACGGGCCGGCAGCTGGCGAGCCCGAGGGCGGCGTCAGGGCGCTGTTCCCACGCCCCAAACTTCACCAGGTTCAGGAGAACAGGCCTTGCGTGGGTCCGAAAGCAGCAGAGACTCTGGGCTCACCGCTGCTCCTGGCTAACACCTGCAGGCGGCAGCGTCCTCAGGGAGAGAGGATGACGAGAAGCGTCCAGAGTGCTTCTTACTCAGGAGAGGAACAGGAATGCGGGGCTGTCTGAGACTTGAGAGCAGCAGGCAAACTGGGGGTTCAAATCACACTGCATCTATGCTTGAAGAACCCCTCAAAAATTACATAAAAATGGGGTCTAGGGTAAGAGGTGGATATACCCAAGGAGTCAAGCAGAAGCCTACACAGAATAAATCCTCTAGGCCCGGGGCTCCTGGGCTTTAGAGAGGAAACTCCAGGAGGAGAGACTCAGACTCCAAAATGGCAAAGTCAAGGAGGGAAAAGTCCATCATGAGTGTCGGGAGCACAGTAAATAGGAGAACTAGGTCCGCAAGCTCTCAGATTTAGAACGGCATGAAAACAGCCATAAAATGAGAAGTTTTAAACAACAAAGAGCTAGAAGGAAGATTTAGAAGAGTGAGGTAGTATAAAGGACAGCTAAAAAAAGTGAGAGGAGTGAAATATAGAGACATGAAGCAAAACTGTTCCGGAGAGAGAGCAGTAGAAGTAAATTCAAAAATATCACCCATCGTAATAAGCACACACGGACAAGTTCACTAGCTGGAAGGCGATTCTGAATATAAAGACATAGGCAGTCCAGTATAAAAGAGATGGAAAATGTAAAGTCTGAGAACCACCAACCAAAGAAAGCTGGCATTGATTCATGTCTAATGGACAGAACTCAGGGGCAGAAAGGCACTCTGAGGGTTGACGTAGGTCCACAGGTCTATGCTACTTACACAGCGACCTCAAAATCCAGAAGCAAAAATTAGTAGACTACCAAGAGAATTTAAAACATCCAGACATATGCTTCATTTTTAGCATATGTTGACAGACTGAACAGACAAAAGTTAGGAACAGTATAGATCAAAAACAAGTTTGCCAAGTGGACATCGCTCGCCTGCATGCAATATTTATAGAATACATACTCTCATCCATTACGCATAGACATTTTATAGAAAATGATTGCTCAAATCCTGTAGGAAATGTCCATAAATATCAAAACATAAACCTGACTAGACTATCTTCTTTGACTAGATGCAATTTAGTTAGAGGTAATGTCAAAATTACACATACAAGACAACTGAATTGTACACACTTGGAAATCAAAAAGGCAGAAAAGGCATAATGGAAAGTAGAAAATTAGCTGAAGGCTACTAATAAGAATGAGACCATGACCGAGCACAGTGCGTGGGACCTAACTAAAGCAGTTGGTACAATTTTAGAAGACAGAGCTTAAAGGAGACGAAGACTGAAAGTTAAGTTGAACGTAGGAAGTCAGAAGAGGTAATAATAACTCAAAGAAATTATGAGACTGAAACAGAAAATTAAGAATAGACGATAATACAATAGAAGGAACCAATAAACCTGATGTCATTTGTTTAAAAAACCAAACAGAATGGATAAATCAGTCAAGCTTGAAGACAAAGGACAAAGGAGCACAGATAACAGATATATTTTCTCTATGCAAAAATGTGTCATGACTTTTCTGACAACTTAATATTAAGCATCACACAGGGACTATGGGGGCAGCTTTTAAATAATTTTAAGATACGTCATTCATAGCAAACCTTTGATGGAAAGAGACAATTTTTGATGGAAATAGACAACTTTTTTTAAATAGTTTATTTTTACATCATTTTGTGTATTTTTTCGTCTCAGTTGTAATCCCCATGGGCTTCCCATCACCAAATCCCCCGGAAACAGAAAACTTTTATTTGTCAACAGTGACAGCAGCATGAATTTAAATTCCTAGTTTGGGCAGGTACATTAACACTGGAAAGTGTGATCGAAATGACTAACGCTTACTGAAGAAGAGACAGAAATTGCTCTTCTGCTCACTGTTCAGGGGCAGCTATCTATTTATTTCTTAATATATTCATTCTATCATCCTTCCAGGGGCTCCTATTAAACACGTGTGAGAGTCTCAGCCCTCCTCTCCAGACAATGGACAGGCAAAGGCAAGTTCCCCAGAAGGCTTGGCCCAGAACGTGCTCAGCAGAGCGACTGTAACAGCTAAAAACTGGAAGCTATTCACAGACCCATGAAGCAGAGTGGATAAATTAAAATACATTCATGTAATGTAATACTCTACAGCAGCTAAAACAGCCTGACTCTGACCCCATACAAATATAACGAAACAAAAGGACCGGTTACTTTTTCATATACTGGTTACTTTTCGGAACATATATGAAACTGTGGTAAAAGTTACAGAAGATGAAACAGAAACCTGACCAGACTATTATCTATGAATATAATTTGGAGTAAAACATCTTCCCGCCCAAATTCAAATTACTCTTCAGAACATAAAAAGGAGGAAAGTTGCCCACTTCTCCAAGACAAGAACAGAGCATTATAGAAAAGAAAAATGGTAGAATACTTCATCACATATGGACAAATGCAATAAACCTAAAGAAAATATTAGTAAACTCAATTCAGCCATGTTAAGTATTACACCTCTTAGCTGATATGATGTACTATTTTTGGCTTTCTCCCTGGAATCTTAGAAGAGACAGTAATGGGCTTCCCACAGTAGCCCATTAAAAGAGAGAAAGCACAGCACTATGAAGCTATAGCAGCCACTGTAGCACGAGTTCAATCCCCGGCCAGGGAGTGACCCACAGGGCGCAGCAGACCTCTCCTGACCCGCCCGCTGCTCCCCTCAGCAGTGTGCTTCGTCAGTCAGCCTGTTCTGCTCCCCACTCTGTCTCTGGTAAATCTTCTTGCCGCCCCTGCCCCTCTGGCCTGCACCCCAGTTCTATATGAATAAATAAATAAATCTTAAACAAAACAAAACAAAACAAAAACGAGAGAGAGAAACCAAATGCTCATTCCACAGGGAGGAAAGCAACTGATAAAACTGAAGACGAGCTGACGGTACCTTCTGCCACCTCTCACTCTCAACACAGACCAGAGCAGAATGAGACCGAGCCAGCTCGGAACAAAATGCAGGAGGAGGGGGCAATGAAGACATCCTTGCAGACACAGGATGACAGTCCGCTGGGAAGGTGAGAGTGAACGGGAGAGTGCCAGACAAAGTTCCAGCGACATTCCTTCACGGTGACCATTTAGAAAATAATGCCGCCAATGACCACTTCCAAGCATAAATAAAACTATTAGGGACTTACCTATTCGATCTAACGAAAGCTCTGTAAGATCCCCATGGAGAAAATGGGTCCTGACAGAAGACGCCAGATGGTGGTAGAAGCGGAGCGCAGGCTGCTGGCCGAGTGTCAATGTCCACACTGTCCCCTTTGAAAATGGGGGGGGGGGGCAGGTGAAGCGTTATGGACTCAGTACCGGCCCTGGGATGTGCGCAGGAAGAGCACCGGAACCCGAGCAGGGGCACATCACCCCTCCTCCTTCCCGGGCCAAGCAGCCATCCTGGGAAGACGTGGGCGGAGGACAAAGCCCGAGAGGAAGGGGCCTGGCCATGCCCCCGGGGCCCCGGGCAGTGACCGGCTGCGCTTCTTTCACTCCTGCAGCGGCGCGGCGGGAAAAACACTTCGACCCTGTTGAAGTTCCTGGGATTGTGTGTTCTCTTCACGTGGAGCTAGACGTACTCCTGGCTGCTGGGGACCCCACATTCCAGAGTGCAGGCCTGTGTGGTGGGGCGGGACACATCTTGAAGTGTCAAAACTAGACATGGACATTTTGAAGAACTAAAATGAGGGGGAGTTTCTCTGCCAGGGAGAGATGGCCGTCATTACAGCGTGAGGTGAGCGGCCAGGACAGGCAGCCGGTGGGGGGCTGGGGGCCTGGGGGGTGAGCAGGGGCTCCTGGGTGGGAGGGAGGAGGCATGACAGCCCCCAGAAGAGGGGTGACCCATCCGGACAGTGGACTAAAGATGCAGAAAGAGAAAGGAAGACCTTTCCTTGATGCCATACCAAAGGATGTTCATCTGAAGCGAACCAACTCCACAGATTACAGATTTAAATGTGAAAAGCTGAAATGGCTCAAAACTAGAATGAGTCTATCCTTGTGTCACTAGGGTTGGAGAGGGTTTCTGGGACTAAAATATACACCACACCTCATAAACATACACCATACTGCTACAGATGAGGGTCGCTAACAATTACTGCAAGGGAGAACTTTGCTGTGATTTCAAAGCACAGGTTAAGGGAAAATGTTGCAATACGTAACAAAGAATAGAATCCAGAAAACATGCCAAACACCCGCCAATCACTGAGACAGACACAAACGGCTCAAG